CCTCTTATAATTTGTTACATAGTTGAAATAGTTCTAGAGCATTTGTGTCTACACTTAGTCTATCTGAAGTGTCACTTCAAAAGCTGTAGTTTGAATGTCAAAGAAGTTAATTTCCAGATTGCTGTTGACAAACTTATTGTTCATTTTTAATTATTTTATTTTTTTCAATACAACACAGTAAGTTTTTCTTTATTATTGAGCTGATGTGTATGCCTTTGGCAAAGCTAACATCTGCCTTATTCTCTTGCCTTTTCAAAATCAAAGGTGATGATACCCATGACAGTAATACAGTACGAGATGTGTACATCAACATGTGCCTCCTACAAATAAAGACTCGTTTTTTTGATACACTGTGGTTCAATTCGTAATAACAGCTCCGTAGTCCTGTGGTTTTAGCAGCATTTTTTTTTTGGCAGGATTTTTTTTTTCGCCCTCTCGCATTAGTTTTGGGGTCTTCAGAGGATGTCATCCATAAAATTAAATCAGTGTGGCCTAAGCAACATTAATGTACAGGACTGATTAATACAATTGATAGTTGTACAATACACAGTTTATGTTTACAACTTTGGCAATAGCATATACATTTATCTCCAGTTAGCTATCCTCGAATAAATCATCTCTGGAGAAGGAATGATGTAAAAAAAATTCAACATTGACAGTTGTGTGCAACGTTTCTTCGGAGCTGACATGTCAATATGAAATACTTGAAGGTAACGTTTGACCCGCTGTGCTGGGTGCACGCGTCTTACCTGTACGCGTCAAAGTGCCAGCGCGCTCAGTAATAAATATAAACAAAGTACACGCAACTCGCTTACCATGTTTTATTTCAAATCGTGTACAAACTAAATACGTGGTTGCTCAAAACTTTTTTATTTTAAGGTTTAAAAAAAACTTCCAAACTCAGGGGGCAGCTGCCCCTCCTGCCCCCCGCTAGCTACGGCCTTGAAAGCTGAACGTACAATACAGCCTGCCTAGGCTATATCCAAAGCTGAACGTACAATACAGCCTGCCTAGGCTATATCTAAAGCTGAACGTACAATACAGCCTGCCTAGGCTATATCTAAAGCTGAACGTACATTACAGCCTACCTAGGCTATATCTAAAGCTGAACGTACATTACAGCCTGCCTGGGCTATATTCAAATCGCAACTCTTGATGCAGCCTGTATAGGCTAAACCTATGATACACCCTAGTCAGTTCTCGATTAAAAACTCAATTAACGACATCATTTCACTGTTTTTCTTTAGATGCTGAAGGAGAAAGTTTCTGGGAAAAGGCGAGGAAATGTGTTAAGGTCGTTCCTGGAAGAAAGCATAGGACAACATCAAGAAAAAACAGATGATGATAACGAACGCAATGTCAAAGAAGGTTAGTTTGGGTACAATTGGAATCAGAATATTAATACATAAATGTATTTCATCGGCCAGTTACACTACTGTCAAACATAGCTGGAGAATGATGTTCCATCAATGTGTGCTCCTTGGATTGTGTAGATTGCAGTCCAGGGGTAGCATATTAGCGACAGTGATTTATAAGATATATCTATTGAAATCATAAAGAGCCCACGCTACATAGTGTGCTACCTTGCATCATATAGTATTCACCTTGCACCGGGGAGTAACTGGCTCGCATCGGGAAGTGTACATCAAGGGGTGCTCACCCACAGCGGATCCAACAAAATGTATTGGGGTGGCTCCAAGCCTTGCTTAAAATTTACGGAACGTAAATCGCAGAGAAGCTATGCGTAATCCAGATGATATGAATGATCGTTTGGGGGGCATGGCCTCCCTGCCCCCCTCTAGATCCGCCACTGCTCAGTAAGGGAGTGCTTACTTCGCATCAGGGGGTGTTAATCTCGCATCAGGGAATGCTCACCTCGCATCAGGGAGTGTTGCCGCGCATCGAGCAGTGCTCACTTCGCATCAGAGAGTGTTACCTCACATAATATAGTGACCTTGCAACCGCGAGTATAAAACTCAGATCTGGGAGTGTATACATAGTGAATCTGTCACCATTGCATGTTAAAGAATACTAAAATTGTCGGGGGTGGTTTGGCTTTTTCACCTCATGCTATTGTATGTAAGTCTCATTGACTAATTGTATATCAATAAGAGTAGCCCAATTAATAAAATTACATTTTTGTTAATTAACAAATTAAGCTGCTGAACTCTCAGACGAAATTGAAGATCTAAAAGCCAGTGATCTTTCAGAGGCCGCTCCATCTAATGACAACCCATCTCAATCTGCAATACCCGATATTGAAGCAGAAGTTAGCCTTGCTGAGGAGAAGCCTCACTCTGATACAGAGGTTGGACCAGTGCATGGTAATACTTCATACTTCAAATTCTGTCAAAATTCAAAACCAATTTAGAAGAAATATAAAATATTGTTTCATATAAAAGGAAAATAATCATATTTATATTATTTTAATTTTTGCTGTTCCACTTCAGCTCCACGGGTATTAGTTAAACAAGGTTAGTACTTGTGATACAGTATTCTACAAAATAGCTTTCATACTTCTATCAGTAGTTGTCAAAAATGTTATTGGTGAATTTTAATCGGTGAAAATCTTGAAATCTTGGAATGCGTGTCATTGAGAAATATTCATAAAGTTGCATTTCTACTTCGTATTATATAAAAAACACATTTGCACTGATTAGTGTGTTGACCGTGAAAATCAATACTGAAATATTGGAGCACTGCATTAAAGGTCACATTTTCTAATCACCTAATTATTTGTTATTATTTATTTTTGGAGAGATTAATTCTTATAAATTGTTTGTGTGTCAGGCGGCATTTCCGAACATTGAATGTCACTGTTGTCTTTCCTGACGTTTTTGTGTACTGCAAGTACCATATTTATGTTTTGGACTACATGACAAGACTGTGTGGGCATCAAATGGCAATTTAATGCGCTATCCTGACATCAACCATGCCCAGTCAAACATAAGCACCTGCGTACCAAAACCAGATACATTTAAAGTGGCATCTGTTAGTGAATAATATTTCTAGTAAACAATACTCAATTCAAAAACACTCATGATGCTTACCTGGATCAGTGAGAGGTTTTCTGGAGATCATACAGATCGAAGTGCAACTTTTACATCTTTTGTGGGCGGTTATGGTGTGTCTCAGAAGATACCAATGTCAATACTCGAATGTAAATTGCAACAATAATTCTTAATTATGATTATTAGGCATACCAAGTATTTGTGCATTGTTTTGCAATTATGTTTTATTGTTACAATTGGTACTGTAGATTTTGTTTATGTGTAACGTCACTTTTACTGTCCACTTGACTTTTTTCTTAGCGCAATTAGAGGATGTTGAAAGTAAAATTCTTCATGAGTTGAAAGAAGCTTCGGAGCGTGGAATAAGTTTAAATGACCTTATCGACGACGTCACTGCCAAAGAAAAAGGTATTTTTTAAACTTATACATATATTAGTATGTGTATTTGTGAAATGAATGTTTGTTTCCGTTGTTCTCCGCCACTCATTGAGGCCAACACATTGCCTCGTTATTAAAGGCATATATTCTTGATTTTCGAATGATAACGTTATTTATAGGTTGTTGTTTTATTGTTCTGTGCGTTAACGTTATATTTTAACTCCACTATTTTCAGTGTTAGGTTGCAAATACTATGGCTCTATGTTGTAAATCTAAATTTCCGCTCATACTAAAATTTCTATTTCCCATTAGATGTTAGATTGAATGTGTGAGTTGTCTATTCTGCACGGTGAATAAATTCGACATTCGAACTAATCAATTTACCAAAATGACGCCATACAAAAATGTATTTGTTAACTTTTGATGAATTGATCTCGCACCTACACTAAATTTCATTCATTGTGTATTTTTGGTTGTCATTCATTGTGTATTTTTGGTTGTCATTCATTGTGTATTTTTGGTTGTCATTCATTGTGTATTTTTGGTTGTCATTCATTGTGTATTTTTAGTTGCCAAGAATGTATCAAGTTATAATAAATGGTTATTCCATAATTATGTCATTGTTAATTAACATAATTGCCGACAAGTTGAACATGGTGATTTTTAATCTCAAAAACATAATGTTATGTCCGTTTTGGAAGACTTTCATAAAATGTACAAGCACGATTTATTTCAAATGTCAATTGTGTTCGTACCCGAAATATGTCCATCAATCACCCCCTTAATTATTATTATCATCTGTAATACAACATTTACTTGTTTTATAGCAGTATTATGACATATACTTGTTTAATAGTAGTATTATGACATATACTTGTTTAATAACAATATTATGGCATATACTTATTTAATAACAGTATTACGACATATACTTGTTTAATAGCAGTATCATGACATATACTTCTTTAATAAC